CCCCCCCCAAGAGCCATGTGGGACACTTTTTTATTATGGATGGATGCGCTTTATTGGACTTCTTTTGAACTGTTGAACAGAAACAAACCGGCAGGCAAACCGGTTTCGAAACGATAATAATACAGAGGAACGCAGGAACAGAAACGTTAAAATATCGATTCTGTTCAGAGTGAACCGATTGAATTTTTTTTTTTTTTAGTTTTCAAGCCTTGATAAAAATACACCGTTAACCCAATACTTGTGTTTTTTTTATGCATATTAGAGTTTTTTGCAATAAGCTTTGCAGAATGCTAAAGCCAAATTGTGCATTTTATGCGAAGAGTACTATTTATATGATGCAAAGTGCTTCTGTTTATGTAGAGCGTTCCAAATTGGATACTTATGAGACTTCATTTCAGTTAGGATGCTGCTTATGTAGGCAGTTGACACCAAGGCAGCTCACTAGGTTTTGGTATGTGATTGTATGTACAAAATGGCTTAGAAACAATTATAGTATGTAGACCAACCAGAATACAATTCATTGCACATACTTACAAATACACAAAAGCCCATGTTCCTAAAAAAAACACAAGTACAAAAGTGTTGAGTATGGGGACAAGTACACAGAGTGTCATATTATACTCGGCAGCCAACAGCACCTGCACACTAGAAAACAAGAGTACACTACATCTGAGAGCGACACAGACAAACAGAGGACTAGAGAGGTAAATAGAGACTGTGTTTGTGTGTGGATTTGTGTAAGTGTTTAGTGCAGAATGAAACAGAAACTTTTGAGTGAAAACAATAGACTTTATTTATTCCAGGAGGCAAAAAGAACTGACTTTAGTGCATGACTTACAGCAGGTGACTGGGTAGTTGGTCAGGACCAATAGAGCTGAATAAATATGACAAAATACGGTTTATCAAGAGGCGATGATGGGTGAAGAGGGTCCTCAGAGGGCTCTGGCGGGCATCAGGACTGCTGTTCCAGAGCTTGAAGTGCCATCCTGTTGTGCTGCTTAAAACTGAAGCCTCCTCCAGTGAATCTAGCGCCGTCTGGACGCTGAGGCTGAATCACAGGCTGTCCTGCCTGGGTGAGATTTCGTTCCTTCTCCCTGCAGAGATGACAGAGAGCAGAAAGATACAATATTAGGGGTCATACACACAAGATATGCTGTCGAGTTCTGTCTATGCTGTCTGAATTTGTCTTCATGTGCACATGCATCAGATGTTTATTTTATTTTATTGATTTATTTTTCTTTGTAGTATTATTAGTGTCTCACTTCATTAGGGTTGAAAAATTAAACTTAATAAAACAAATTACATACAAATATAAACAAACAAATAAATGAAATAATGAAATACCTCTGAAGTCAATATATTGTTCAGTCATATTAAAAATTAATATGTTAAATTATAATTTAGATTATGTGTGTCTAACCTCAGGATGACTGTTGCTGTAATAATTACATGGTAAATTGTTTTGGATAAAACCATCTCCTAATTAACGGTTTGCAAGTTCTTTCATACTTTGAAATCTGAATATGATATTTCATATTTTTCATAATACGATGTTTTTTATTTATTTATTTATTTTAATTATTTTATGCTCACAGTAAACAGTAATATTGAAAATTATTATTATTATTTTTAAACAAAAAAAGAACAAACTATATATATATATATATACTGTAAAACAATTAAAAAAATAATAATTCTTAATTTACGGTTAAAAAAAAACAGAAGCTGTTGTTGCCAGAATTTTACTGTAATAATACAGTAGCAACATTTTAGGTTTTACAGTTTTAATTTAATTTACATGTAAATACTGTAATTTCATTAACTGCTATAATATAAAATATATCAACCTACTGAAGTACTAAAATCTGTTTTGCACCTCTGTAATAAACTGATAACCACCAAAAGCAGGTGATGATGAGAAAGTCACATGATGAACCAAAGCCCATCACAAGCAGCTTTTAAATATATTAACATATATAGAAGGTGCACAGTGTCATTCACACAAACACTAAACACCATCACGGTAACACATGAAACTGAAATAATGCAATAAACATTAATTTAACAACATTAGGTGTAACATACAACCCTAATGTACAAAACTAAGAAGAAACATAGTTATTTCAACAACAAAAAAACATCAAATTTGAAAATGTAACGCAGGGAATTCTGGGAATGTCTATTTATGGTTATTCAATGTAAATTATACGTTCTTTTTCCATAAAATTACACGTAATGTCCAATACCGTTTTTCACTGTATATAGTAGGGGAATTTACTGTTAAACCTTTAACAGGTTTTTACTGTAGCTTTTTTACCGTTAAATTCACGGTCATATTTTACAGTGTATATATGAAAGTTTGAGGTATTACAACTGTATTTTATTATAAAAACAGCACACTAAATGTTAATGTGTATGTGTGTATAATCATATGGCCTTCACAAAACTTAAGACACAATAATTGAGAAATTCCAATAATAATAGGCGGCATAATACACTTAAAACAGCATGTCAAAAAAACTAAAACAAAAACGTTAAATGTTTATACAGTGCTTCAAAGTTAGTTTTAAATCAATGAACCAAACAAAAGAATCAGGCATTGGGACAAACATCTTGAGCGATCTGAGCATTCACACAAACTACTGTAAAATGTATGTCTTCATTACGAATAACTAGTGACAAGTTGTTAAAATGTCTCGAGACCCTGAGATGTTCCATTCCATTGCACTCGTCTAACGGCTGTTAAACGCAAGAAAGCATCCTGAGTGTGTATGACCCCTTAAAGTGCAGAAAGATGCACGGATGGGTACGCTTTTCTATTACCGTCCCACGAATAAACATCCACTGAGTGGTGAAGCACCCACATCTAAACAAATCACAGAAAAACATTTCAAGCTCCGCACACAAACTCACATTTACATACACTTTCTCTGTCCTCTTGTAGCTTACACTCCTGTCCAACACCCACACGCCAGACAAAAAGAGCCACACGCTCTTTCTGTTTCCCAAGAGAAAACATCTGTTACTATCCAGCTCACTTTCAACTGTGCTCCAGTGATCACGGATCTCTCGTTCAACACACTATTATTCCAGGACCTTTCAAACACACACACACACACACATCTCTCACTTACTTTGTTTGTCCAATACCAAATGCCATCAATTAATATTCACTGACTGTGTAATGCAATTTCACAGTGGGGCCGATGAAGACATTTGGCAACAAGCTTTAAACACGAGCAAACATTCAGCTCGTCCAACCTTTGTTTATCCCACTGGTAAACAAACAGAATGAAATGAATGTTGCTGTAAGATGAAATATGCTGATTCTTGGATGTGGCTCTAGACATCTGTGAACGAGCTTTGACTGAAACTCTGTGTGGTTGACAATCATTGTCATCTGGAACAAATGACTACCAACAATCCATATTTCGCCCCCAGTTGAATAATAACCCTGATTCTTGACCAGGATGAGTATGAGGAAAGGGATTTGCTCTGAAGACATTCTGTAGTAGTAGTTTAGGAAATGACATATACACTACCAGTATTAAGTTTTAATTAAGTTTTTTTTTTTTTTGGAAGAAGGATCAAATGCTCACCAATGCAGCATTTATTTGATCAAAAATGTGTTAAAACAGTAATATTGTGCATTATTATCACAATATAAAATGGTTCATATTATTATCAATGTTGAAAAGAGGTTTTATTTTCTGCATAATATTTTTGTGGAAACCAAGATACATTTTTTTCAGGATTTTTTTGATGAGTACACTGTTCAAAATAACCGCATTTATTTGAAATAGAAATATTTTGTAACATTATAAACGTCTTTACTGACACTTTTGATTAATTTAATGCGTCTATGGTGAATAAAATTATTAATTACTTAAAAAAAATCTTTTGAATGGCTGCAAAAACTGGTTTCTACATTGATAAAAATGAGAAATTGTTCTTAAGCAGCAAATCAGCATATTAGAATGACCAAATTAAATTTTAAAAATATATTCTAATATAACACAGTCCCTTTAAACTCTAATAATATTTCACAAAATTATTGTTTTACTCCCTTTTGATCCATGAACGTGTCTCTACTTCTGTACGTGATTTTCACAGTTTGAAGTGTCTGTCATAGGAAATCAACACGTGCTGTCATGAATAATTAAGTAAAGCATCTTCTCATTGGATAAGAACACACAGTCTCATGAATAATTATGAAACACTGATGAGTCATCGCTGTACTAAAATGTAAAAAAAATCACATCCTGAAGAGTTGAATAATCCAAACCCGAAAGATGAAAAAATTGCACAAAAAAGCTTCAAATTAACCAGTTTTCTTTTAGAATTAAAATCAACTGATGCTGACATTATCTTCTATGATGTGCAAAACACACCTTTGTTAAAATCTCAGAAAATGTAGTTTAATGTTTCATGACCCTTTAAATTGCTTGTAGTAAAAGAACAGAACTTTTTTATCTTGCTAAAAACCTGCTTTTATCGATGATCTCCATCTTTTACAGCACAAGCAGACTTGTTGACAGATGCTTGAGCTCACAGGTCTGCTCTGTGTAAGAGTTGTACACTGACTCAAGAGTATTTCTAGTTCTTCTGAGTGTGGCGTACTTGAACTAGTTGCTGATATCAAAGTGTCTCAGCTTTGCAGTGGGTTAACCGTACGTGTCCACTGGTGCAGAGTCGAATGTGCATTTTCAATGCATTCTCTACTGGAGCTGACTCACACAGAGGATTATGGGATTGACAAGCAGGGAAAGTGGAGAGAACATTAAAAAGTTGATAAATGCTATATGGTGGGTGTCTGCCAGTCGCTGTGAGATGAAGGCAGTGGATTCTCTCAAAAGGAAAATCTGTCAATAATGATGGAGATTCTTGAGGGTTAAAAGCTTAAATTGTTCAAGTTTGGGTTTGTAAAGATTTTTTTCAGATGATGAACATGTTTAGCAGCCATTACTCCAGTCTTCAGTGTCAAATGATCTTTCAGAAATCATTCTAATATGCTGATTTGCTGCTCAATAAATATTTTTTATTAATATCAATGCTGAAAACAGTTGTGCTGCCTAGTATGTTTGTGGAAACTATGATTTTTTTTCTCCAGGATTCTGAATAAAATTGAATGATTATTTGAAACAGAAATTTTTGGCACACATATATTTTTGTTCTGTAATTTTTGACTTGTTTAATGCATCCCTGCTGAATACATTTCTTTAATTAATTAAAGATCTTATTTTTTAATTATTTACAAATATAGAAAATTATAAACATACAAAAAAAACAGATCTTTGTGATTTTGAGTGGCTTTCTTCCACAGCTGTGAGCACGTAGGGTAAAAGCTCAATGGTTTTCCAGCACAGAGGGATATGGAGAAAGAACCACAGGTTCTCTCCCTATCCTCTGACCCTTGCCGTTATAGCCAATGACATTGAAATGTTACTCGCTGTGCTTTCCAGAGCATTTATACAAGGGGTTAAATCAGGATTTTGGAGGGAAACCTTAAATCTGGTGGTGATTAGTGATCCTAATTGCCAAAAAAAGCCTAAATGATTATTTGTGTTTTGTGATTATATATACAAAGATAAGCTAAAACACTAAATAAAATATTAAGATATTAAATAAATAAATACATATAAACCAATCCATATATATATATATATATATATATATATGCAAGCAAGCAGCGATTATCAGGGCTCAAGCACTTTAAGGTTCTATGCTTTTAGGGTCTAAGCCTCAAACACAGAAACATAAATGAAATGGTTAAACTATTATATTAATACTCATTAAGCATGCTTACACACACACACACATGCGCACATTTTGTTGCAGATATAGATATTTGAAATAAATAATAGGAAACAAATTGCTTACTGCAAGTCTTCTCTTTTTAAGAATTTATATATAATTTTCAGGTTTCACTGTAATCATAATCTGGCACAATTGTAAAAACTTTGAAATGTCTGTATAAATGCATTGGTAAACTTTTATTAAAAACTTTCATTAAATTTTAACTGTAATAATATTGATTTTATAATGTCTAAATGTGGATCCAAATGTAAAAATCATATCAGTGAGTAGAAGGACC